TTTTTTTTTAAAGATGGGATTTCACCATGTTGGTCAGGCTGGTCATGAACTCCCAACCTCAGGTGATCCGCTCGCCTTGGCCTCCAAAGTGCTTGGATTACAGGCATGAGCCACTACGCCCGGACTTCTGTTAATTTTTTTAAAAATTCAGTTATTGTAGTTTTTAGTTCTGAAATTCCATTTTGGTTCTTTATATCTTACGTTTTTTTGCTGAGACTATCTACTTTTTCATTTTTTTTTAATTTTTCATTTTTTTAAAGATTGTTTGCAGTTCTATGGAGCATGTGTACAATAACTGCCTTAAACATCTCTGAGATAATTTCAACTTCTGGGTCCTCTTGGCATCTATATCTGTTATTGTCTTCTCGTGCAAGTTGAAATTTTCATGGTTCTTCATATGCTTCATAATTTGGGATTCTATTTGGGCATTTTTAATGTTTTATTAGGAGATTCTTGGTCTTAATTTAAATTATGTCAAAAATGTTGATATTTTGATTTCAGTATGTAAACAACCTGGCTAGATTCATACCACAATTTTAGCTGCCTTCTGTGGGCTGTGGCTCCAGTGTCCAGCTACATTTTCAAAGCCTTTGCAGTGCTATTCAAATATGTCTCGTGTATGTTCCATCCTGTGGTCAATCTAAGGTCTAGACAGCAGGTCGTTTGTTCACTTCTCACCATTTTTGGCATCCTGACTGAGATGGGATCCATGCATGTACAGGTCAGGGGGTGATCTAGATATTTCACAAACAACTTTATGAGGTTGCTTTCCTGAATCCTTTATCATCGTGATTTATCTGGCACTTTCTAGTTTCCTGGGACTCCCCTTTTTGTTTCTTTGGTCATAAAACTGGAGCTTTAGTTACCCTGTGATAACAGACATTTCCTTGACTGTGCTTATGTCTGTGACTAAATGGCAGGACATTAAGGAAAAAAGCTGTGTGTATCACAGCTTCTATTGGAGAGGAAGACTCCTCTCACTGTGTTTCAATTTCCTACTGGTGTCATTGTCTCTGCTGTCACTACAGCCACCATGGGGTTGCCTGTGGTTTAGGGTCTGACAGAACAGAGAAGACAAAAAAGGGGCAAGAGATTTCCACATTCTGAGTGTTAGGATTGTTTCCCTTTCCTGCTCCTTGAGGGGGAATGAGAGGCCTTCTCCTAGAGCTCTGTCTGTCCTCATTGATGCCTGGGGTTCAGGCTGCATTGCATTTGATCAGGAAATACAAAGGGACAGAAAATGGTAAATTCACCAACAGTTCAGCAATACTTCAATTTTGATCTTCTTTCTTAATCAGGCTGCTCCTATTTCTCAGAGTCTTCAAATAGCTGCTCTCTGCATTCCATCCACCTTTAACAGTGACATTCAATGGAGAGACAGGGTGCAGTACATTTGTTCCACTCTATCCTGGACTGGAATCCTCACAGCTTTCTTCTTAACCTATGTTCTACAGTACTTCTCATCCTTTAGGAAATGATGGGATGGTAGCTACTCTGATGGAAAGACTGAAGGCTGTGTTCTTAGTGTTCTGTGCACACTCCACCATCTCAGGGCTCCCACTGCCAAAGGATAGTGCTTTATATCTTTGGTATTTTGGTATCATAACCTGATGGGCACTGAAACCAATTGATTTATACATTGTTGTCACAAAATGATACTTTATGCGGGCTGAAGGTATGTTTTAGGTTTTGTTTTCAGACCAAGAAAATCATCTTATTTTTTGCATTTGTGTTCTCACTGTAGGGTAATCATGCTGTGTTATCACACTATCCTAGGTTTCCCCAAAGGACCAGCCAAAACCTCACCTCAAGCCACAAGTATGATAACGTGAGTAGCAAAACTCTTTTCTAACAGTGCACCTAGTCAGCAGATTATCGTGGCCAGAAAAGAACTCACGGCCATTAATTCTCATGTTCTGCTCAGCAATGTATTGATGTGCAGCCCCTGTTAGCAAGATGGTTAAGGATCAAAGTTTTTTTGGAGTTTGTATTTGCTGTCTTCACTTTCTTTCCTTGCATTCTCTTTGACAGACTTCAGACATGCTCTTCTACCCTTCTTATGGGCATAACTATTGTCAAGGTCACTGGTGACTTCTCTCTTGTGAAATTTAGAACTGCAGTTCCACGGTCCCTCATCTTATCTAATTTATCAGCAACATATCACAAAGTTGATCACTTCCTCCTCCTTCTTGCGCACATGGCTTTCAGACACCAGTCACTTTGGTTCTTCTCCTGCCTCACTTTCATTTCTTCTCCATCTCTTTTCTTGGCCCTTCCTCCTCTACTGACCTTTCATTGTTGGAGACCCCAGGGATCAGGCTTCGGACTTCTCTATCTACATTCATTCCTCTGTGGTCTTTTGGTCTCATATCTTGAAATAACCATTCAATTTCTGACAACCTACAAGTTTGTATCTCTAGCCCAGACACCCATTTAAACTCGCAACTCATATATTCATTTTCACTTCATATCTCCCCTCTTCATTTCTTCCTAGGCTCCACTCTCAACTTGCCCTTCCTGCAGACTTCCCACCTCAATGACCACTCTACTCTTTGCTGCATAGGTCAAAAACCTTGGGTAATAGTGCTTGACATCCACCTTTTTACTGTTACTTGTGCCTTTTACTTTTAAAATATGTCAATTATCTAGCCACTTCTCACTACCTCCACCTCTGCATCTTAGTCCAAGCCACCATCAGATGGACATTGCAGTGGCCTCTAAGGGATGCTCTCTTTCAACCTTTGCCTCCCTTCACATCCCTCCTGCCCACCTTATAACCTATTCTCAAAACAAAAACTGGGCATTCTTTTTTAAAAAGTAAAGTCATATTATGTCACTCAATTGCTCAAAACCCACCTATGATCTTCTTCCTCGTTCCATTTTACTCAGTAAATGCCTGAAATGCTAATCTGACCCCACCTGTCACCTCTCAGCCTCACCTCCTACCCCTCTCTACCTTGGCTCACTTTGTTCCAACCACGTTGGCTTCCCCCACTTCAGAGACTATGCACTCGTATCCTCTCCAGTAATCACAAGACTCACTTTATTCAGGCTCTGCTTAAATGCCCCCAATGATGAGATGTTTCCTGACCATGACCTATTAGAGCAGTATTCCACCTGTCTCTCCCACCCACTACTCTGCTTTTATATTAGAGCACATGCCATTGAATATCTGTTCCTGCCCACATTGTCTGCATCATGAAGTCAGGAACTTGGTCTGCTTTACTGCTTTGTTAATAGTACCTGGCAGCTGGTAAGTTCCCAGGAAATATTTGTAGAATGAATGAGGAAATTATGAGAACAGGTATTTCTAATTAAGATTTTAATCTTTATCTTCTCAGTCCTGATTTTGTTATATCACTGAGTGCTTCTCTGTAGATTTAAGATTTTTCTTTTCCTACTCGAGGCTGACTGATTTATCAGAGTGAAACAACAGAGAATCTGGCCTGAACCCCTGAATCTGCTTCATTTTTAAAAGCAACATGTGTTGTAGTTTTTAATTTCATAGTTTCTATGGGATATGGGGTGCAATAGGCATAAAACCAGACTTACATAGTAAATTTTTGTTTTTGAGACAGGGTCTCACTCAGTCACCTAGGATGAAATATAGTAGCATGATCATAACTCACTGCAGCTTCAAACCCCTAGGCTCAAGGGATCCTCCTGTCTCAGTCTCTGGGGTAGTTGGGACTGCAGGTACAAGTCACCATGCCCAGCTAATTTTTTCTTTTTTTTTTTTTGTAGAGCTGGGGTTTTGCTGTTGCCTAGGCTGATCTTGAACTTCTGGGCTCAAGTAATCCTCCTGCCTCATCCTCCCAAACTGCTAAGATAACAGGCATAAGCCACCATGCCCAGCAGAAAAGTAGTAAATCTCTTAAGTGATTATTACCAAAAAAGAAATAATTATTAAAAACTACTTGTTCTTGTCCAGTTCAAAGTGTATGGTTCTTGGAACAATGTACTTGGAAGTGTAGGAGTCTAACTAATAAAAGAAAAGCTTAATGTAGAATGTTTATATGAACATCTGTTATGCTTTCTTCAGTTTCTGGAACATTCAAATTCAGTGTTTCTACAGCCGGTTAGTCTACAAACCATTGCAGCAGCACCATCAAACCAGAGGCTGCCATCTTTGCCCAGCAATCATCCAGGTACATGGGACCTTACTGTTTGCATCAAACAAGGAAACTTATGAGAGAATATATGAGTCTGCCAGAGATTTGTTGGTAATTGAATATAGAGAAGAGAAATTAGAGGTGCTCCTTTGTATTTTTAAGCTAATGAAACAAATTCAGGGCAGATACCATTATGACTAACTTTAGGAGATTGTAAAAATGCTTGTGTTGAACTGAATATTGTGTTTTGAATGCTAAGGTAAATGAACCTTTAGCTGAGTTTTGGTAGCTGAAGTTTGGAAGCCTTTTTGTTATATACAGATTTGCTGAACTTGGGAGAAGCATTGGAACACCAGTCTGTTTGTTTTGATTGTGTTTACTACGACCTAATATTCAAAGTCTAAACTATAAAAAGAATATCAATCGCATGTACTCCTTGAAAAGCACAATGTGTGTTTACTGGCCTCTTTTTTTTGCCTAAAGCGATGACAAAGAGTGATCTCCAGCCACCTAATTACTACGAGGTAATGGAGTTTGATCCCTTGGCTCCTGCTGTCACTACAGAGTAAGTCATTTACAAAATGATTATTTTTTGTCTTGGTTCCCTTTGATAGCAGAGCTAACAGGGCTTGGTTATACATTTAACTTTGTTTAGGTCTTGGCAGAAATGGATGGCCTTGTTAAAAATGCCTTATGAGGTTTTCTGGCAGCTGTTACTCTTAATGGTCTTATCATTCCAGCCTTGTGACTGAAAAATAAAAATGCTGGGGTTGCACTTTAAGAAATAACTGGTACTAACATGCTTAATGGATTCCTCATAGATTCGCTGGCAGAAAGTCAGGTTCTCTTCAGCTTGAGAAGGGTACTAGTCACTAATTGGTGATATAAGTTTATGCTACATTGACGGAATATTTTAGCTGTTCTGTAAGAACTGATGCAAAAAAAAAAAAAACAACTCATATTAGAACTTGTTTTTAGTCTTCTAAAGCATTAGTATAACAATTATTTATTACTTAAAATCCTTAAAGCAGCATTATTTTATGGTTTCATATTGGTCAAGATATGTAAATATTAATGGAATTGTAAGGTCATCAGAACTTTGATACACTTTGAGTGACTGAAGGTTACCCCCCAAATTGTTAAAAATTATTAAAGCACGTTTATTGGAAATAATTGCTCAGAAACTGATAGTCTACAGGCTGTGGCTTGCTTGCAGTTGGGTTTTTTTGTTTTTTTTTTTTTTTTTTTTTTAGTTTGTTTTGTATTGTTTGACCTGTGCCGAATTTAAATGTGCATTTTTAAAAATTAATTGCTGTTTAGTAATAATTGCTAAACTATGTTTTTCCTCGGCTGTTTCACTAATATAACAATGAATGCAGAGACTTCTGTGACTCCCCCCCAATTATGTGAGGATTTCTCTCCACCAGCAAGCAAGGAATGAATTCTACAGTGGACACCAGCTGGGTGTCCTCTGATTCAATTCCAGCACCATCTACCTGGAGATAGTGTCAGGTAGATTGAGAGCTCAGTACCTACCACCCTCACGCCAACCTTCCCAGACACCAGTCAAGCCTGGGCCATTTACTGGTTTATTATAAAAGACATTGCAAAGGATACAGATGAAGAGATGTGCAGGGTGAGGCATGAGGGAAAGGGCATGGAGCTTCCATGCCCTCCATGGAGTCCCATGCCCCAGGAACCTCCACGTGTTCAGCTATCCAGAAACTGACCCCACCAGCCCCCAAGCCCAGCCCAGTCCTCTTGGGTTTTTAATGGAAGCTTCTTGATGTCAGCATTCCTTCCCCCAGTACATAGGGCAGGACCCTCTCTAGGGAGGCTTTTATTCCCACAGTCAAAAAGGTGGGCAATCAGAGTGGTGCCTTGGGGCAGGTGAAAGGAGGACTGGAGAGGGTCAGAGGGATTCTGTTTCCTGAGGCTGGCTCCTAAAGCCCAACATACCTAACATTATATAACAAGGGCTATGGGAGTTGTGAGCCAGGAACCTTAGAGGAAAACCAGTACGTATCCTAAGACCACAACTGCCAACAGCTGAAAACTTGGATATTTGAAAATAAAAAATTTGAACTTCTTGATCATTTGGATACTCTAGTAGCCTGAAGCCTGCATTTTTACATGCCAGCTATGGGCTGAGGCTGAGTAGTAGCCTCTTTATATTGGGGAATCCCCTTGTTAAAATGACTGAGATGTCTCTCAGTCTCTAGACCTGAAAGGAGGAAGTCCTTTTTCTCAACAATCCTGGATCCCTTCACCTAAGTCCTAATACTGACAACCCAGAGTCCTAATGATCAAAACCCAGACCACTCTTTTAGTAGTTTATGGGGCTGCTGTTTCAAAGGAGAACTGAGCAAAAAGTCTTGTGGTGCTCGTCAGTGGACTACACTAGATACCAGGTCGGGGGTTCCAAGGCCCTTCTCTAGTCTCCCTCTTGGCAACTTAGGTGAGTTGGCCCAGGCATGTTGTCACAGCCTACTGCTTTGCCTGCCAGGAGCCTATAAGGGACATAAGTCAGGTCTCAGTCCTGGGTCCCATCTGGGATGCCAGACTTGTTACCCCCCAAAAAACCTGAGATTGATTCATCTGGTAATAGACAACTCTACATGAGAACAGAGATTATTTTATTTTGACAGGGTCTCACTCTGTCACTCAAACTAGAATAAAGTAGTGTGATCACGGCTTATTGCAGCCTTGACTTCCCAGGCTGAAGCAGCCCTCCCCACTCAGCCTCCTAAGTAGCTGGGACTATCGGGGTGTGCCACCATGCCTGGCTATTTTTTTGAGACAGAGTGTCACTCTGTCACCAGGCTGGAGTACAGTGGGGTGATCTCACCTCTCTACAACCTCCACCTCCCAGGCTCAAGCAATTCTCACGCCCCAGCCTCCTGAGTAGCTGGGACTACAGGAATGTACCACCACGCCCAGCTATTTTGTATTTTTAGTAGAGACAGGGTTTTGCCATGTTGTCAGGCTGGTCTCGAACTCCCGGTCTCAAGTTCCTCTAACCGCCTCAGCCTCCCAAAGTGCTGTGCCTGGCCTTTTTATTTATCTTTTTTTAAATAGAGAAGGGGTCTTGTTGACCAGGATGGTTTTGAACCCCTGGGCTCAAGTGATCCTCCTGCCTCAGCCTCCCAAAGTGCTGGGATTATAGGATAAGCCACTATAACCAACAAAGAAGGCAGGCTTTGAGCAACAGGAGTTTTATTACTTGTCACAAATGAAGCACTGGGCATACTCTCCAAAGCAGGAAAGTGACAGGAGGGTTTTATGTGGTGGCAGAGAGGGAAGAGGGTATGTCATTGAATGTAGAGGGGTTGCAGTTGTGCAGATGCAGTGAATCGTTATTTCAGCACATAAGTCACGTTATGGTAATGAAGTTATAGCCATCTCCCAGGGTAGAGATGTTGGCATGGTAATGAGGAAAGTACACTGGGATCCATCTGTAAATTGCCGGGGTCTGTCACGAGCTGGTTTAAACCAGCTAGCTGGCTACATTCCACACAGCATTCAGGGAAAAAAGTGGTGATTACTCAAGTTGATTGTATTCCTATAATCCCTGGAGACCCTTCCTATCTGCTTCACAGCCCCACCCAACCCTCTGCATCTCTTTGGCTGACATGTGTAGACATTTGATATTCTGGTCTCTGATTTAAGCCCTCAATGATTTATGCACAAATGTTAATACTTTTTCATTATGTATTTTTTCCTACCTTATCACTGATCATATTAGCGCTTTAAGAAACCGGCACTAAACTAGGTATGCTTTCTAAAAACTTGTTATCAGTTTCTCCATCCAAATAGGTAGTGAAAAAGTTCTTGATTATATTCAAATTAAAAGATTGCTATATATAGATATGGCAGTGTCACAGATACTGGAGGTGGGAGAGACAGTAAAAAGCTAGAGATGTGAATCTTTGGAACTCTATCATTGTGATGGGTCTTCCTTTGTGGGGGTCAGAATGTCTCAATTCTTTTGAAGTCCCATGAAATTCAGGGACTCCCTCCAAGGAAAAGCAGAGGATCTTGCAGGAAATTTCTGGGTTTTTTTCATATCAATGGTTGTCCATGAACCCCAGGTTGACAATTTTTGCTCTACCAGGACAAACAGTATGTTTATGAAGATATACACGATTCATTTATTTCAATATTATGTGCCAGGGACTATGACTAGACTAATTTATAATTTTAAACAAGAAACATGCTCCCTTGTCCTCACAGAGGTTAAATGTAGCATGGATACAGAAATTAGACAAATCACCAAATACATGTTTACAATTTGTGTTAGTGTTATGAAAGAATATGGCAAATTGAAAGTGTATAACAGAACTAATTTAAATGGAGGTTAGAGAAAGCTTCAGGGAACATTAAAGCTGAGACCTGCAATTCTTAGTTAAAAGTTTGGAAATGAGTATTGTAGGTCCAGGGAACAACCAAGACCCAGAGGAAAGAGTTCTGGCACATTCAAGGAAATGGAAATGCCAAAGCCAAGAGTAAAAAAAGTTAATAGGGAGCTCAGAACCAGATGTGGAAACTGTAATTTGGAAGCAAAGAGGAATGAGTACAACTGAGAAAATCAGTGCTAAGGGCAGACAAGATAAGAACTGAAAACTAGACAATGGATTACATAGAGGTCACTGATGATTTTTGTAAAAGCTATTTGATGGATTGATGGGGACAGATGCCAAATTTCAGTGCATTTGAAAAGCAGAGAAGAGATTAAGTAGAGACAGCTAAGCGCAGATAAGAACTTAAATGTGAAGCAATGATGAAAACAGGTTTGGGGTTGGGCACTGTGGCTCACGCCTTGCCTGAGGTCAGGAGTTCGAGACCAGCCTGGTCAGCATGGAGAAACCCCGTCTCTACTAAAAATACAAAAATTAGCCAGGTGTGGTGGTGGGTGCATGTAATTCCAGCTACTCGGGAGGCAGAGACAGGAGAATTGCTTGAACCCAGGAGGTGGAAGTTGCAGTGAGCTGAGATCACACTGTTGCACTCCAGCCTGGGCAACAAGAGCAAAACTCCGTCTCAAAAAAAAAAAAAAAAAAGAAAAGAAAAAGGGGTTGGTAGCTAGAGGACACCAAGGCATTTGCTACAAGTAGAGGTAGAATTAAAGACCATAGTTTGTATAAAATAAGAGATATGGGAGATGTTGGAGAATCTGTGAAAGTCGAGGGATAGGACCTGGCATAGAAGGAGAGGCTGAAGACTCAGGAAGGGGAGAATAACTGAATGGGTGAAGTGCTTGAGAAGTATGGAGTAGCTATCTACTTCAGATCACAGAAATAAAGGACAATACAAATGAAGATAAACTTGAAGATTTAGTGATGGGAAGATGAGGAAGTGTCCATATCAAGACATTTAATGTATTAAGAATGAGGTTTCTACCAAATTGGTCAGAGGTTTGAGGAGAGTAAAGAAGGCTGACACCGTTTTGAGGGAGATGAGAGACCAAACTTTTTAAGGAAACATTAAAATTATAGGACCATTCTGGGGCCTTCTGAACTTGGTGATTATGGTTTCATAGTGCTGTGATTTTTGAGGCCTTTCCTCAGCCATGTTTTGCTATACTGTATATATGAATGTTATTGTGGTTTCAGGTATAGATATTTTCCAGCTATAGATATATGTAAGATACACAAATAGAATTGAATGAGTCAGGCATGGTGGCTCACGCCTCTAATCCCAACATTTCGAGAGGCTGAAGTGGGAGGATCACTTGAACCTAGGAGATTGAAGCTGCAGTAGCCATGATTGCGCCACTGCATTCCAGCCTGGGTGACAAGAGTTCAAAAAAAGAATGAAGGATGTCATAGAAAAAATACAATATAAAGAAAAGTACAGAAATGACAGTGATGAGCTATAGGTGGCTTGAGGAGTCTGGTTTTTAATCACATAAGTTAAATAAGCTGGAAGATTATTATTATTATTATTTTGAGACAAGAGTCTCATTCTGTAGCCCAGGCTAGAGTGCAGTGGCACGTTCTCAGCTCACTGCAATCTCCGCCTCCTAGGCTCAAGTGATCCTCCCACCTCAGCTTACTGAGTAGTTGGGAGTATAGGTGTATACCACCACACCTGGTAATTTTTGTATTTTTTTGTAGAGATGGTATTTCACCAGTTGCACAGACTGGTCTTGAACTCCTGGACTCAAGCAATCCACCCACCTCAGCCTCCCAGAGTGCTGGGATTATAGGTGTGAACCACTGTACATGGCCTATTTTTTTTTAATGTTTGAAACCAGAAGAAATTGAATAGTTTTTCAAGCAAAACATTAACTGTCCAAATATGAGCCATATTTTTCATTTAAATCACAAGGAAAAATGAATTGGTTCTATAAAATACATACTTTTAATGGGCATAGGAGGCTGGGTGTGGTGGTTCACCCTTGTAACCCCAGCACTTTGGGAGACCGAGGCAGGCAGATCACCTGAGGTCAGGAGTTCAAGACCAGCCTGATCAACATGAAAAAAAACCCTTCTCTACTAAAAATACAAAATTAGCCAGGCATGGTGGCGCATGCCTGTAATTCCAGCTATTCGGGAGGCTGAAGCAGGAGAACTGCCTGAACCTGAGAGGCAGAGATGGCAGTGAGCCCAGATTGCACCACTGCACTCTAGCCTAGGCAACAAGCGCAAAACTCCATCTTAAAAAAAAAAAAGAGGCATAGGAATTGCAACATTAAGGCTAGGCACAGTGGCTCACACCTGTAATCCTGGCCCTCTGAGATACTGACATGGGTGGATCACCTGAGGTCAGGGGTTCAAGACCAGACTGGCCAACATAGTGAAATCCCTTCTCTACTTAAAATACAAAATCATTAGCTGGGCATGGTGGCATGTACCTGTAATCCCAGCTAATTGGGAGGCTAAGGCAGGAGAATCACTTGAACCTGGGAGGCAGAGGTTGCAGTGAGGCAAGAAAGCACCATTGCACTCCAGCCTGGACAACAGAGTGAGACTCTGTCTCAAAAAATAAATAAATAAATAAATAAGGGAAGTGTAACATTAGAATTTAAGAAAACTAGAATATATACTTCAGGGCAGAGATTTATTTTTACTCATATGTAGCCTGAACTCCAAAAACAGCTCAATTTTTAATTATGGTACTGGCAATTAAAAACCAAAATGGCATTTGAAATTGATATATAACCCTTTTGCTGTGATGGCTTTGTTTCAGAGCTATTTATGAAGAAATTGACGCTCACCAGGACAAAGGAGCTCAAAATCATGTTGACTGAGGTAAAAACTTCAACTTACACAACTTAATTCCATATTACAAATAATTTCAGTATAATTATCACTTTATGTATTTAGTATTTATATTTTGTAAGGGCCATCTGAGTCTGACACTTTGAAATATGAGTTCTCCTGAATCACTCAAATTATGGGGAACCATTATTCACTAATGAAAATCATTCTTTGTGCTTCTGTCATCTGTAAATAATAAGGCTTGGGAATGCATTAGTTACTTTATGGTATAGAAACATTAGTGCTAACAAAAATAGATGAACAATAGAAGTAGCACTGAAGTCAGGCATTTGTCTTTCATGTGCAGTTAATACTTGTTAACTGGTACCAGTAGACCCATTTACTGTTACTCCTCCAAATAGGTCTTGAGTTTTTCCCATTTTCAGCACTACTGATCCCATGTATTTACTATTTAATGGTCACCAATGAATTATTAAACTTATTTATTCCTCTTATACTCTCCCCTATGGAAGAAGCACATTCTTACCTTTTTTCTACTAGACTGTGACTCTCTAGCCTCCCAGGAGAGACAAGTACGAGAGTTACCAAGAAATGGGGAAAGAGAAGGACAGGATGAATACTGGCCATTTTCTTCTCTATTCTAGAAGAAAGAGGATGATCACCTCACTAGCCACATCAAAGGTGCCAACTCTCTAATGAGTAGACTCTGTGCAGCTTTGAGGCCTGGAAGACAATACCTACCTACCAACATGTCAAAGCTACGGTGGAACATTTCTGCTATTATGAAGATTAAACAGAAGAATAACAGTTCCAGGATAACAGTGATTCCTGACAACAGCGTGAGATTTCAACAGAACTTGTTTGGAACAAATACTCAACTTAAAACTTTAGCAGAAAAATAATTACTTAGTCCTTAGGCCAACCAATTTAACTGCAGTGTCATGTGTTTCACAGGCCTTCCTACATTTACAAATCATCACACAGCTGTGTATAAGAGATTATCTTACTATAAAATAATTCTGAATAGATGAAAGAATAAAATGAAAGAAACTGAAAGTATTATTCTGGAAGAATAAATACTGAGTGCCTTCATTTAACTAAAGTTGAATGTAAAAGTCAATTTGCACTTCTTTATAAATAATCTTCTGGTTTAGAATTATAAATTGTTAAAGCCTTGATGATTGTCATTTAATTATATTTTAGGTGTCCTGAAGAGGTCACTAGACTCTGCATTGGGTGGCCTTTTTGATTCTTTGTAATGCTAAATAGTATTTTCTCTCTTTTTACTATAACTTAACATTTCTATTTGGAACACAGACAACTGGAAAATATTCAGAATAAGTTTTACATTTGATGAAAAATAAATCACTATTAAAATAATTTAATACATCTTTTTTTTTTTTTTTTACAAAGTTTGTTCCCAGAAGAACTTTTGATGTCAGTAAATCACAATCCCACCTGTACATTTTAACATTCATGGATTTGTAATGATGATGGTAAAAGCTATCAGCCTAGTAAATATACTTATTTTATTTCAATTTCATGATAGGACAATTTCAAAGTAATTATTCAGAACTCTGAATATAAAATAGCCCTAGATCTTATAGGACAAAAAGTCAAATTTGAAATAAGAATTTAAATCTTTGGACAAGCTGTTAGGGCTTAGTGACTCCTCTTCTACTTTGAGCTTTTAAAATACTGACTGTTCAAAATAGCAACCAACTCTTTTAGACAAAATAATAAACATGGTCAGAAGTTCTGGCCTATGACTTGAAACAGATAACCCTGAGCATACATTTTTGAAAACATTCTCAGATTCATTGCTATAATTATGAAGAGTGAATAATCTAGAAGGGAACTATAGACTTAAGCCAAACCATTAAGTCCATGCCTGCATATTTAAAAAACAAAGCGGCTTATTTTAACACTATCAAACTCTTCAGTATGGGATTGACTGGTCAGCCATATATTCTAGCTAGACATGTGGGTTTCTTATGATAAAAGCTGAACCTGTTCTCTCAATTTTAAGTGAAATAAATGAGTTGAGAAAATAGCTTTTTAAAATATAAGGCTTCAAATTATTGTACAATATTTCTCCTCTGAGAAGGCAGGATACATGATTTTCCCAAAAACCACAACTTTGAAGGAAGACTTAGTTGCTGACTTCAATTATATCCTGGAACTGGCAACTTGTGCCCTTCTTTTGCTTCAAAAAAAGTGTAAGAAAGAGTGATAACATCAACCTTAATCATTCTTGGATCTTCGGCAAATTCAGGATCAATGTAGAAAAACACTGGCATATCTACTTCTTCTTGGGGATTAAGCCTTTGTTCTTCAAAACAGAAGCACTAGAAGTTATAAGAAGATTTTGTTTAATAACATTTCTATTCTCATATTACATAACAGAAACTAATACAGTTATCTTCTTAGCATTCCAGTACACTTCTTGAGTTTAATAAGCATACTGTTAAATACATAGTTCTGTGATAAAATAAGAGCATCTTTTCATCTCAATGAGTTCTGCTTTACGGATCAAGAACAAATTCTAACCTTAGAAGCAGATATCCATTTGATTTGGTTCTCAATCTCTGCATAGCAAGTATAGATAATGAAGAAAAAGAGCTTGATGTTTAGAAGAAATTAGTTTTCAGAAACCACAAGATCTACTAAAACACTAAGTTTCATGTACCTTTATCAAATATTTTGTAAAGTTTACATTTTGCTGTACCTGTATTTTATTGAAATACTGTCCGGCTTCAAATGGAACAACATTGTATGTAGAAATTCCAATTACTGGTTTGTCAGTAGGATTCTTAGCTTTGTAAAATGCCAGTGCAGTCTCTCCTGGAACCACCTGTTTTAAAGGATATAAATTATCAATACTTTATATCTCACACAGTTCCTCTTTTTCCTGCTAGTCTAATTATTTTGCCTATTCATCAGACCATAATACCTAATCTAATGCAGGGTTCAGCAAAATAAATTGTGAGTATAACCCACAAACGTATCTGACTTTAAAACTTACTTGCATATGTCAATGAAGAACCAATGTTCTCATATCCATAATTAGTTATGAATTGTCCTCTTGTAAATTTGAAGTCTTCAAGGAATAATCTGCAAATTACATTATTTAAAATGTGTCCAACCCAATCATATCACAGCCCAAGCCCAACTTTTCTTTAACACTTATACCTGAAAGTCATCATTGACTAGTTTTTAAAAAAAGTATCAATATTAAACTTACCTTAAAACCATAATAAAACTGACTAGAACCTTTATTATGCCAACAAGTGTTAATACTTTGTTTGGAGAAAATAAGAAGATAGCAAAGCTTAAAATTTCCAAAAGATATTCTGTCACTTGTACCAATTCAGCCACTAATACCTTGTATACGACCATGTAATTGGATAATATTCATAATCATAACCTATAAAATCTTTAATTATTAAAGAGATTCAGTCATGTTTACTAAACTGGGAAAGCACTAATATTTATAAGGCTTTTCCATTATGAGTTGAAATTAACTCCACTGGCTAATCCTCAGTTAATAAGGTATCAGTTAAAATCTTCCCAAGATTACAGTTGGTTAAAATTTTAGGAAAGCTTTTAGGACAGTCTCACTTAGTCTCACTGGAATATAACTATTTACTATTTATTGATTACTTCAAAGGCCCTCAATTTTTTTCTTTTCAAAGGACAGGGATACCTTTTATATAAATCAGTAAACTACTCATTGTAACCAATGATTTTCCCATATCTTCTATGCCAGAGGATGTTGGGAAGCTATATGGCCTGACAGCTACTGCTACTCCCAACTGTTTCACTCATCTAAGCTTCATTTCAAAATACTGACAGGTTCCATTATTATTAATTTTTTTATTCCCACAGACTACTTTTTGATAATGCCTTACAGCTAATGCAACAGAATTTATGTTAACTTTTAAGTTACATAATAGTAAAAGTCAGTTTGGAACAAGGGAAAATGCCCTGTTTTATTAGAATTGCATTGTTAAAAGTAGTCCTCTGACAGTTTAAGTGATAAAAAAAAAAAAAAGGAATTTACATTAATAAAGTAATCTTTTAATGACTGGTTAGTCACTTACAAATATTTCTGTTTGCTGAGGTCTGAAGTTCCACTGGAGACTTGCATGCACATCTGCATTAAAGGTAACTTTAATGATTCGATTCTTAACAGGCACCATGTTTTCAATCTGGTCTGATGCATGACCTGCAACTACTGATCCTCCAAGTCCAGTAGTCTAGAAAAAGATACCAAACATGTTAAACAATATTTTTAGGTGTTGATGATCTATTTATTTGATAAAAAGTTTAAAAACAATTTAGTATTAATAATTTATCTGGAGCCAAGTTTACATACTAACCACTTGTGTAACCACGTCAAGATTCTGACCACTTTTGGGATGTCATGAGCCTGTATTTGTTAAAGACATTCCTATTTTTCAGCAATCCCTTGGTTACCTGGCATGGTCACATATGAGTCATTTGGGAAAAGCAGATTCACTAGCTAAGGGAACTATTGTCACTTACAATAGAAGTCACAATTTCCAGCTAAGCCATTTATAAAAAACACATTTCCCTTTATTGCTAGTATATTAACTATTAGTCATTATTAGAAATAAAATTTACCCATGACTTCAATTTCATTGAAAATACTTAAATAATTCAATTTTTCCATATTCTTGACTGGTCCTTTTCCATATCACAGCTTTTGTAATCCAAATTAGATTGTAGCTTCACTTCTATTAATATATTCTGCTTTTCTAAGGCATCATAAGTATTTTCCCATGTTGGTTATGTTTTTGGATCTTTCCCTGTATAGTAGAGCTTTTATATAAATCACTAATTAGAGCACCTAATCTCTATGGCCAGAGAATCAAATAATCATAGGGCATCAAGAGTACTTGTGTCTGACACTTCATTTATTTATGATAGTTATTTCCTTGTCATCAGGTACTTTTAAGGAAAAAGCCCTTACGTCCAAGGTCATCTTTCTTCTGATACTTGAGGTTGCCAAAATTCTGATTTCCAGATAATTTGCCTGTTACTATGCTAGGGGAAAAAAAAAAAAAAAAAAAAAATTTGAGGCTAGGGGATGACTCCCAGCAAGACACAGTGTTAGCATCTTGTTTGTTACACAAGTCAACTAACTTCATGCAACTGCCATGCAACATTACTGAATTACATTGTATCTCTAAAAGATGCATCAGAGGGCAAGTCTTTATCTTTGTATATCCTTCTGCCGGCCTGCTATAATGTTTAAGATGTAACTCCTTTTCCTGAAGAATTTAAGTTACTTGAATAAAAATATGTTTAAGTGTCCTTCCTTAATAAAGATTCCCTGATATGTTCTTTGAACATGAGTTCTTCCAGTTTCTAAGTTCAATGCCTAGAGAAAGTAAAATAGACAAGAAGACTAGAAAAGAGAACTAAAAAGATGTCCTGGTCTCTAGTCTAGTTGTGCTACTAACTAGCTCGAAGAACTTAACAGACTACAAATTACATTTGCCTTCCTCACCTATGACTGCACATGGACACATTTCACATACAATATTATCAGTTATTTCAGTTTGGGACAGGATTTCTCAATCTTGGCACTATGTACATTTTGAGCTGAATAATTTATTTGAGGGTGGGGCAGTGCCTTGTTGGTTTAGTAGCATTCCTAGCCTCTACCTATTAGATGCCAGTAGCACCCTATACTCCCCACCCTCCATGTTGTGACAACCAAAAATGTCTTCAGACATCACTAAATATTCCCTAAGGGACAAAAATCACTCCTCCAGCCGCCGGTGGTTTGAGAAGGATCCAGATTTGCTGATTTGGTTCAGTTATGCTCATGACTTAACTAACTGGTAGTTTTAGAATTTATGCTTGGGCTTGGCCTCTGATGAAAGGTAATTCACATTCTATACTCATCCTCAGAAATCAATTATTGCACATTTCCACATAAATGCTGGCATTAGGAGACTATGCTAGAAAAGAAAAGTTCTTTTATCTTCTGCTGCTTCATCATCTAAAAAAAAAGTTAAATTGATCTTCCCAGCCTGGGCATGGTGGCTCATGCCTGCAGTCCCAGCCAAGGCAGGAGGACTGCTTGAGCCCAGCCTAAGCAACATAGGGAGACCTCACCTCTACAAATTTAAATAAATACACGCACACACACGAACACACACACACACACACACACAATAAGAGTGAACTCCAGCTAAGAATACCAGTCATGGTGTTAAAATAGCAATTTCCAAACTTTCCTGCACATTGGAATCACCTAAAACATACTTGACAATTACTGATGCCTGGTTCCTACTCTGGTATTGTGATAAAATGAATAATGTGTGTGGATTTTTAGCAGCTTTCCAGGTGATTCCCAATGTTGCTGTACAACGAATTTTAGGAGCCACTATTTTAAACACATTGAATGAACACAATATGTAGCTCTTGTGGAATGATTTTTAAACCGAAATTCTTGTCCCTTTCCTAGGCTTCCTAACCAGAATCTCTGGGGTAGGGGATCCTTGGAACGTGTATTTAACGTTAAGCTCCACGGGTGATCCTAATGCCCAGCCAAAGCTGCAAATTACTAGCTAAGAACAAAGGAGAATCTATGAAATACATGAAACTTCACCTTGCCAGTGGTTCTCAAAACTTGGCCTCAAAATCAACTATATATAGACTGCTGGTCCCACCCACCGTGTTTCTGACTCAGTCCTGGAGTAGGGCCCTAGAATTTGCACTTTTAACAGGTTCCCAGGTGATGCTGATGCTGCTGGTCTTGGGCGCCAAACTCCCAGAACCGCAGCAGTGTAAACAGAGTCCAGGTTAAGTACATTACAGTTACATATTAACGGGGGCGGGAGTGAGAGCTCCTCAAAAGACTAATTCATGCTCCAGTTTCCAGAGTTACCCCCTCTGGAAAATCACATGTGGTCTGCAGAGTGAATGTATGAATAACATACATTTTAAAAGCGTGTGTGCACAGGAAGGTAAGGCTGCGGACCTTTTTGGTGAGATGGAGCTCATACATCAGTGAGTTGCACTCCGCAGCGTGGAATAAGCATAATCACTAAGAAGAAGTCCGTGCTCCCTGCAGTTCTGCCACCAATATCTTTGGTGACTTTGGGTGTTAAGTGGCTGTTTCGAACCTCTCTCCTTTTGGGTAGATAATATGGGTCACCTCTTCCACCAACGACCCACAGAGCGAGGGCTGTCCCGGGATTTGTCCTGCAACCCCACCTCTCGCGCCGCGCCACTACGCGGGCAACGCCGACCCCTACCTGGCAGTAGAGCCGATAAAGGGGTACGGCGGCGTAGGACACCCCCAGCATGCCCACGGCGACCGCGGCCACGTAAGTGAGGACCGTCTTGTTCCGCCGCCGCCATTCCTCCTCCTGCGCGCGCCTAAAACGGTTCGAGCTCTTAGGCCTCCACGGCGGCTGCACTGCCGGGTCCCAGCCTCCAAGGTTGCAGCGCTTCCAGGTCCCCAGGAGCCTCAGTCCTCTCTCGGCACCTCCTGTCCCATTCCACTCTGGCCTAAGAAACGGCTCTACCCTCTCTGCAGCCCTGGCTGTAGACCCACGGTGAAACGAGCTCCAGCCACAGAAAAAGAGGCGCCTCCATGCCGGATACCAGACCCCACCCATAACCCCCAGAGCGACCACCCACCCGCCTCTCAGGGACAAGCAGTCAAATCTCGCGAGGCGTAATCTGAGATCTGGGCTGAGTATCGCGAGATCTGGGCTGAGCCTGCCGCTGCTTTGGCTACCCGGCTCCTCAGGTGGCCGCGCCTGTAGTCGGGCTACGGAGGCCGGGTTGCTAGATTATGGGTAAGTTTGCGTTTTGCTTTGTGACTGTTCCTGTCACTTCGCTTCCCGCCAGGGCGTCTCCAACGTTTAGGAAAACGCGTTTGGCTCGTCCGCGTGCAAGCTTGCCATCACTTGGGGTTGTGCCTGTGATCTTTCTAAACTCCACCAGCCTTTGTCTCGACCCAGCAGCCGTGGCGGCGCTCTCCCGCGGTCTTTTCTCCTGGGGTCCCCTGGCCGCTGGCTCTTGTGCTTACTACCCTCGACTTGGTTCAGGGATCATCCCCTCCCTCAGGAAGCCTTGCGGAGTTAACCGCAGACCTCTTGGACACCCACGACACCTGTATTTCCTCAGCCCGTGGGCAGTCGGCTTCCCCTGCTCTGCTGCCCCTTTACAAGTTGCCCAGTGGAAATCCCCGCAGCTGGAGCGGGAGGGAGGCTGTCAAGCTGAAGTTTGTTCGGGAGAGAGTGACCAAGATATGAGGAAAGGAAAGACTGAAAGAAAAGAACCCCGTGGGGCGATGTAATAGCTTTCTTCAGCCGTCCCACAGGACGAGCTCGAGGGGAGCAGACAGCGTAGCGGATTTTACTGTCATAAAAGGAAGCATCTTTCTAGAAACTATACGATAGCAGCTAAGAGCTTAGCTTCTGAGGCTAGGCGGTTCTGGATTTTTACCCGGCTCCCCACCATGGCTCTGTACTCGAAGGCCAGTGACTTGGCCTCTCTAAGACCTGGTGTCCTTACTTGTGACATGGAAATCATAACAGTAAGTGAGAATATTCATATAACGTGACTTTCGTGATGCCTGAGGCATAGTAAGAATTTAGTTAAAAGTTAGGCTGTATTTCTACTTGCTATGGCCAGAGCAGATATAACTATCCCCACCATGTGGATGAGGAAATTGGAGGCCTGAGAAACTTTAAGTCATTTAACATTTTATTTATTTATTGCACTCTCACCTGTGGGCCTAACATTAATGGACCTGCTGGCGCTATAACACAGAACAAGTCGGAAGATCACTTATGTGATGGAGTGACCTTTCTACTGAGGGACTCAGAAGATAATCAAGTAACAGTTACCTAAATAAGGGAATTTCAGATAGCAGTCAGTGCAGTGAAGACAATGGAATAACATAATGAGATTGAGAGTGATGAGAAGGGGTAGTAAAGTAAGGCCCTTCTGAAGAGGTGACATTTGAGTTCAGACCTGAACAATGATAAGGAGCTACCTATTCAATGACAATTCCAGGCCAAGCAAAGGCCCAGGGGAAGGAAAGAGCTAGAAATGATTGAATAACAGAAAGGAGGCCAGTGTGTTCCTACCATGGTGAAAAGTGGTAGGAAATGGGGTCAGAACAGGTAACAAAGACCTGATAATACAGAGCCTTTTAAGCCATGTCCACGGGTTTGGATTTTATTCTAAAAGTAATAGGAATCTATTGAAATGTTTGACGTATGTAAGTGAAACGATCTGACTCACATTTTAAAAAACGTATTGGTTACTTTGTGGAGAGTGGATTAAAGGTAGGGGAAGAATGGAAGTAGAACAGTTAGGAAGCATCACAGTAGTTCACATGACTGATGATGGTCACCTTGAATGAGTAATTGATTAACTTGTGGTCACAGGGCCAAAAAATTGCAGCACCAGTAAAATCTAAATACCTTCTGACTTCATTCTTTACCCTGGCATACTGTCTCAAAAATTCCAGATCTCCATGATTCTACAGATTTATTCATATTGTGTTATGACAATATTTGAAAATCTTCTTCATCTGCATGCACCTTGGTTCTTGTACAAGATTTTCAGCTCTTCTAGTATGAGATTTCTCATAGTTTAATTTTCTTACAGCATAGACTGATATCCCTGACACCAATACATTTCCTCTCACCATTCTTTTTCTCCAGGCACCCCTTCCTTGTAGCAGTATAAATATATAGCAGTAATACAGTCTTTGTCTTAGACTCTAGTATTTTATTTTTTATATACTAGCTGTAAAAGGAAACTCTTGTGTACAATAATATTGATAGCAATGAAGTGGTGTTGGTCTTTGTAGCTTTCTACTTTATTAAAAGAAAATATGCATCATATCTGATCTTAAGATGATAAAGTGAAATGACAGTTCATGTTTATGAAATACTTTTGTATGACAAGTAAAATATTTTTTTTACTTATATTGTGAATGAAATGTATAGAACATTCAATGTCCAATTAACAAACATATTAAACAATTAAAACATTTCTACAACATAATAGTACTCAAATTTCTTGTACACCCTTCACCAACATTAGAGAATGATAAAGATTCTTCAATCTTTATCATTTCTACACCATTTGAGAATAGATTTTAGACTTGATGTTTTAGAACTGTGTACTTACTTATTTCTTATTATGAAGACACTCTTTCCAAACCACAAAGCAGGCATCAAAATCAACAAGTTAATATTTATCCAGTATTAAATATCCAGTATTACCATATATAGTCAGCTTGGACTACCAATAGCAAAATATTGCAGACCAGTTGCTTAAACAACAGAAATATTTATTTCTCACAGGTCTAAAGGCTGGAAAGTTCAAGACCAAGGTATCAACGGATTCACTTCCTGGTGAGGGGTCTCCCTGGTTTGCAGACATCTGCCATCTTGCTGTGTCCTTACATAGATTGGAGTGAATTAGCTCTCTTATAAGGACACCAATCCCATGAGATCAGGTTCCTACCCTGATGACCTCATTCAACTATAATTACTTCCTAATCCAAATACAGCTACATTGGGGGTTAGGGCTTCAACATATGGATTCTGGGGGATATACATTAAGTTCTTTACACCATGTTATTCATGGACTCTACTTAAATTACCCCATTTATACCAATCATTTCCAATTTAGATCTAGGATCTAATTCAGGATTACTCGTTGTTTTTAGTTATCATGCTTCTTCAGTCTTTTTCAATCTGGAATAGTTGCCAGTCTTTTCTTGTTTTTCATATATATATTTAATGTAATATACATATTAAAGAGACAAGATCTTGTGGGGTTGCCCAGGCTGGTTTCAGATTCCTGGCCTTAAGCGATTTTGGTCTCCCAAAGTGCTGGGATTACAGGTATGAGGCATCGCACCCAGCGTTATCTTTCATGACTTTTGACATTTTTGAGGACTACGGGTTGGTTACATGATTAAGTGTTCCTCAATATAGGTTTGTCTGATGTTTCCTCATGTTTGTGACCCCTTCACAAGAACATCATAGAAGAGATGCTGTACTTCAATCAGTGAATCCTCTTAGGTGTCACGCGATCTCGATTTAGTCCATGGCTTCATGAAGTTAACTCCTATTTCTTTAAGATTGTATCTGCCAGGTTTCTCTGTTATAAGGTGAATTAGGACATATGTCACACTCATAAATTAATAGGAAATGTATGTTTTATGGGGAGAAGCTTTGTGTTTTGTAAGGAGAAGCTTTGAGACTATAAATTCTGTTTCTCATCATACATTCTCCTACCAGATTTAGCATCCATTGATGCCTCTTGTTTGAATCTGTTATTACTGTGATGGATACCAAATGATAATTTTCTAATGTTATCAAACCTTCTAGGTTTATTAGTTGGCATTTTACTGTAAGGTAGAGTTTTCCTTGCTATACCATGTATTTCTTGTTTATTTGTTTATGTCAGTATAGACTCATGAGTTCTTATTTTAATCAAGGGTTAACATTTACTATTATTATTTATTCATTTATTTTTTGAGATGAAGTCTCGCTTTGTTGCTCAGGCTGGAGTGCAGTGGCGCGATCTCGGCTTACTGAACTTTCACCTCTTGGGTTCAAGCGATTCTCCTGCCTCAGCCTCCTCTGTACCTGGGATTACAGGCAGGTGCCACCACGCTGGGCTAATTTTTGTATTTTTAGTAGAGACGGAGTTTCACCATGTTGGTCAGGCTGGTCTTGAACTCCTGACCTTGTGATCCACCTGCCTTGGCCTCCCAAAGTACTGAGATTACAGGTGTGAGCCACTGCTCCCAGCCTATTGCTATTATTTTTAAATTCTGATTTCAGATTTTCCTAGACTTGGCCAATAGAAGCCCCCTTCTGACATGCTTTTATCATTCTTTGATCACTTCTTATTTTTTGGCACAACAACATGTGCCATGCTTATCTTGTATTTTCCTGATCTGCCTTGGAATCAGCCATTTCTGCGAGGAATTTTGGTTTCTTTAATGGAAAGTCGTATATAGAAACAAACTCTGGGCACTAACAGTGTTCATTAATAGCCCTTTTCAGCAGAGAGAACCTAGAAAATTTGTGTGTATAAGCAAATGTGCATATGTGTGTTCAACAGCAGGAAACCTGGCTACTTTTATCATCAATGTTTAGACTTACTTGCTCAATCCTCCCATATGTAAGCAGATTACTGTGGCTGAAAGCTTGGCCCTAGACATGTGAGTTCATCCCTCCCTGGAATGTCAGCCCAAAGCTAGGTATTGAGTATGCTGCCACTACTACCATCCAAAAACTCAGCAAGACAAAAGTGGGTGAGGAAGAAGGAAAGAGAAAAGAGTAGTTCAGAATTTCAGCTCCAGACATTTTAGAAGGGGTAGGAGGAAGGAGGAAAGGCCAGTTAGGAAGTTTGATTCTAGACACATAGGCCTTTTCCCCTACTGTTTTCCCAAGCTCAGCCAATGAAGAAGGCAAGCAGGCTTAGAATGATGAGTTAACTTGTCCAAGCCTAATCAGTTGGGTAGTGGCAGAGCTGGCGTTTAAGCCTGGATTTTTTTCTGACTCCTTACAACTTGCTGTTTTTACTGCATCTTGTAGAAAGCAGCTTTGCAGTGGATGACAACAAAACAACAATAAAAACACAGAAGCTTTCCTTTTTTGTATTATTAAATATTTCTTTGCTTTTGTCTTCAATAAAGTCATCATTAACATGGTTAGATGCCTATTTGTAACATGGCACATTTGAAGTTATTTCTAAGCTAGAATAAACAGTTTAGACAGAGTTGAGCATAGGATTGGGGTCAGAGACCGAGGTTGTAACCCAGGTAAAAGCAGTTCTTATGATAATGAAAGGTCTGTCAATATGCATAGATACAATAACAGTACAACACTAGGAGATGCTGAGATGTATATTTTTTTCTCTAAAGCTTTAAATGAATGCATAAGTCTGGGCTGCAATTCTTGTAAGTCTGAGTATGCTTGTAATAATGCATAAATCGTTATGATAACTAATGCTTAAATAATAGGTCCTACCATGAATGGAATGAGAGCTCCTCAGGGCAGGGAGTGCTAGTCCAACCGTATTTTGTAGGTAGAGGTGTTGATTACACATTTAAAATATCAAGAGCTGGACTGACATTTCAGACTTGACACCTTTAATTTGCAATATTATTCTTCAGCAATAAACAAACCTTGTAAACTCTTTCTGGTTAGCTATAATAGTGTCCAATTTTATATATTAGGTACAATAAGTTATTTTTCATATAAACCATTTTGATATTCACATTAGGTTTTCTTATCTGATTATTGATTTTAGGCTTTCTATGGATTATAAAGATGTACTATTTTAAATTTTGGTATTTTTAATACATAACATAAGTTAAGGAAATTGCAACTTCAGTCTTAATACGGTGGTAGTCACAGAAGTGTATTTTCTAGTGGTTTTCTTAATAAAGCTCCAGAATCCATTTAGCAATTTGAAATACCTAACAATAATTTTAACAATACTAACAACTGTTTATTTGGTAGTTATTTATTACAATACTTGTATCTAAAAGAA